AAGCTCTTCTCCATAGCCCTTCTATATAGAGTACCTAGGGAAATGTAATTGCCAAGGGAGGCATCAAAGGGAGGCATCGTGAATATCCTACCTTTGCCTCACTCTGAGTGGCTGTTTCCTCTCATGGTTTGAAAAATCCCTGATAAAAGGGTGGCATTAGTTAGTAGTGCTTTTAATTCGGGAAATGCCTCCCCATCCATGCTGGATTCCTCCTCCCTTCCCAGCCTGGGGACCACATGGTTATCCCTCCTTGCTGATGACTGGGGAGCCCAGCTTTCCTCTTCTCCTCGGTGCAGTCACTAGCAATAGGGGGAGCAGATCTCATGCCAACATTTTTTTTCCTAAGAAGGAAAAGCATATCTGTCCATGCTGAGACACTTCCTTACAGTATGTGGCTAAGCCATGCTCTCCAGCCAAGATGTCAGCTAGCAACACGTGTTCTGTGGGCTTCTGGGGGAAGAAGTCCTAGGGTAGGCAACGTGGTGGGAATAGTATGGTGCCTAAAAACAAAATACGTTACTAAAAACAAAATACAGCTGCGTGTTACTGTTGGCTGAATGCAACCTGTCAGCACCAACATCTCCCCAAGAAGCCAGGACTGATTGCAGCCAGCCTTCACAGGAAAAGGTGCCAGTAGCTGAGCAGTTGGAGAAGCATGACATGTTGCCCGCTTCCAGGCCATGTTAACGCGGCAGTGTCAGAAAAGGGAGTGTGCCTGGAGAAGCGCCATGTCACGAGGAACCGTGTGGTGACAGGCAGATTGCTCAGAAAGCCCCAAAGGAACTGCAGCCATTTTGCTGACAGCTGAGTGCCCTGGGGCTGGGACAACACGCATTCTCTCACGCGATGGGCCAACCCTGGGCACCAGTGGTGCTTGCTATGCCTTGATGGTATGTCAAGCTCCAGAATAATTCCTCCATAGGCCACAGATTTGCTCATCCTAATTGCTAATTACTGTAACTCTTTTAGGACCAGGTCTATCTTCAGTCTTCGTAATTCACTGAATCTAGGTGGCTAGCGGTCCCTACCCTCTCATGAGTGTGAGTGGGTTGGGTGCCAGCCCTGGGCACTGGAGAATGAATCACATCATTGCTGTAGCTGGGAAGAAGTAATGAGGGTTAGGTAGGCTATGAGCCATTTTGGTGCATCACCATCTTTCCAGCTTTGCTGTATTATGCTTTGGTCTGGACAATCAGAACCCTTGTAACTTCAGACAGACATCAAGGAAAGGAATGAATGGTTTGCCCTCCTGAATAAAATGAGAACATGTGAATGTGGGGAGAGAGGGGAAGGGAGAGAGGCATTTGCATAGGTCAGGAAAGGTCATTAAAACATCTGGCAGTAGTAACTGACATGTGTCAAATTTTAGTGTTCGTTAAATTCGTATTAATGCAAGAATGATTCTTAAGCTCCAAATGCCACTTTCGGTTGCCGTGTTCCCCTAGTTGATGGTGATGACTTTTCAGAACTGTACCATGCTTGTTTGCTTGCTAGTGGCATCTGACCTGAGGTCAGTTTTCTATTTAACCCCTTCCTGTAGGTCAAAAGACAAATTGATCTGGTGAGAATTGAATTGGAAATGAGGTGTCTGGATAGCAGGTGTCCCAACCATGGAATAGCTGCCAGACTGAAACATGTTTGCATCTGTTCTTATGCCATCCCAGAAGTCATCTCTGAGGTCAGGGAGATATTCAGCAGACATCTGAGATGGGAAGTTGCCACAGGGAGCACAAGTGGCAGGTGCCCTGTGTTAACGGATTATCTTGCAGTCTGGGGGGAAATGTCTGAGAGTGTCACTTTAAGTATAAATGTAGACATTTCCATTTATTGTGTGCTTTGCTTTACCTGTGTTTACTACCAGTTTATAATTGTAAAGAAGATACACAATTTCCATCCCCCTTAAAGAGGAGAATCTCACAAGTCTTTTTCTTCCTTTTTTTTAGAGGATGAAGATGATGAAGAGATGGTGGAGCCAAAAGCACAGGATGACTTGGAGACGGAAAATGAAGATCAGAAGCAGGAAGTTAAAGAAGGTACTTTAAAAAAAGAAAAGGATTTTGTTACAACTTTAAAGGACTGAATCCTGCAAGTAGTTATTCACATGGGCAGTTTCTGTTATTAAGAACACTGCAAAATCGAAACAGTCACCAGTTTTATTGATTCAGAACCACGTGAGGTGCATAAAGCAGAAAATTGTATCCCAACAACCCAGCTGGTAGGTCTGAGAAGCTTGTGAAAGACACAAGACTTACTTAGGCTGTTTAGCAGAACAGCATGTCCTCATAATTTGGGAACAAAGTAGAGATTCTTGGATTCCAGGACTGGTGCTTACTTGTCCGCTGGCTCAAACAGCCTGCTTACATGAAAGATTTAAAATGTGAATGCCAGGCATTCCAGCGGCTCCATAAAGTTGGTTGGTCTTCGGAGGTACTTAGAGCCCATAACTGTCTGCCTGCTTGAGAGGGGCACACTTAAACATAGTGGTGGTCAGGAATCCTCCAGAAGAAAGCCATTTCACTGGAAAATGTTGACTGTCAAAATTTTTTGTAGGAGCTGCCCCCAGGGAACTTAAGGTCAAAGCTGAAACCAGACAGGTCCAGCCCCTCTATCCATTTCTCTGGATTGAGACACTCTCCAGGGTTACAAGAGACAAAAATTCAGATTACTACTTCTTTCTGGTGCAGACAAGAGACACGTGTTGAAGTGGTGCATGTCAGCATTGGACATAGTAGATATGCTGAGCGTCTCTTGTTTCCTTCTCTTGGACCTGTTCTAGCTTTTGTAATTAGAAGAGGGATGTGAAATTTGGTCTTCCTCATCTGGGAATTTACTGGAGTATTGGTTATTCTGATGTGTCGCCTTGAACAGTCAATGCTCACCCCTATATGGAGTGGGGGAAAAGAGCTGAAATATCAGCAGCTCCGGGCTGAGAGGAAATGAGTTTCTTCTCCAGCATTTCTTAGCTCTGCATTGCCAGGACTGTTCACAACGCTGTTTACCCTCTTGCAAGGTAACTTCCTCAGGTAGGGCCTAAGCCACTTTGTGCTATGGTGATCATTATTGGGATGATTCTGTGACCTTGTCTTTGTTTTCCACAAGATAATCTCACTATGGGAAAAATATGGAGTTGTTTTACAGAGAAGCGCATGAAATTGTTAACTGTGAATACAGCAGTGGATGCTCCTTTCTTATCCAGGGGAGCCTGGCATGATTTATATCAGTGTCTAAAAAAACGTGAGTCTGGTGTGTAGTGCCCACATTCAGTATCTTCACACACCAAAGTGAGTTGCAGTACCAGCCATGCTGTTTTGATTATAAATTGATCTTTCTTCCCTCTTAAGAGCATCAGAGAAATCACCCATGCCATAAATCCTGCAGCGTCCATTGCTCGTTAGGTCCTTGTAGAAACATGAAGGGGGGAACTCATGCCTCCCACCCCTCATCCTTCTGCATCTCCCAGGGCCCCCAGGCACCGCTGCCGTGGGCGGAGGGGAGCAGCAGGAGCAGAGGTGGCAGCAGGAGTAGGAGTCACAGAAGAGTCTGCAAAGGCAGAACTGAAGACATAAGCAAGAAACATGGCAACATTGGAAAACTTACTTTTTCCTAAAAATTACTCTCCCTCCAAAACTGTAGGCTCAACTCACAGGTGGGCTCTAGCAGTCACTGGACCTAGCACAGTATCTCTTTTACTGATGACAACAGGAAGCCATAAAACCCGGTATCACTGCACTTAAGCACTGTCCTGAGTTGCCACATGTCCCTCTAGTATTCAGCTTACAGCTGATCCCACCCCGATTTATTTCCACATAAAACTAATGCTAATGCTTATACCTGGGGAGAAAGCACAAACGCCTGCATGATGAAGAGAAGAAAAAAAAAAATCTAAATACATTCCTGAACTGATTTATTCCACTTTTTCATGGGCTTTCCAGTTAGCCTTTTACATACTTTGCTGACCAAGCAACACTGCCAACATCTCTTCTTTGTTGTGTTTTAGTCTCAGGGCAGTGCTCCCCTTCTCTGCCTAGCAGACTCCCCAGGAACAGTAGATGAACTGGGCTAGTTTAGTTGTGTGTCTCAGACACACAAACTGCAGGCTGTGCAAGCAAGGCACAGCTTGTTTTATCAGAACCGGCTTTGTGAGGTGCTAACACTTGACTGGGTTCAAGAAAGAAGAAAACATGCTCATCGCCTGATAGAAAATGAACTTGACCTGCAGGACGTGTTGTGACGGATAAAATAGTGGCATGCTTATGACTGGCATTAAATGCTGTGAATCAAATGAAGCAGTCGTGCCCGAATTGACAGGGAATGGAGTCACATTTTTAGTGTTTGGTGTCGTTCTCTCCCTGTTGGCTTTAGCCCTTTCGCCAACAAAATCCTGTTTTCCTCTCTGTTGTAATCACCCTTCTCATGTTCTGAGCAACATTCAGAATTTGAAGCCATCGTTTGTGTTGCATGGAAGTGATTAAAACCATGTTACAAGTCAAACAGGAGTTTAGAAGAACATTTCCTGTCAGTGCTGCACTGTGTGCCTACTCAGAATTAATAGCTTTTCTGCAAATTAGCACATAATGGGTTAAAAGCATGTTTATGTTGGCATTAAGTACTCTGGCTTCTTTTTCTCTGCAAGGCAAGACAATATTTTGCAAACTTTTTAAAGAATCTCTAATAGATATTATAGTGGCGCCATTCACACTGCTATATAGTAGTTAAGGCTGTGTCAGCACTTCCATTATGAATCCTGTTTTGCAGGGATTTATAACCCAGCCGTAAAAATTTGCTCTGGGCTGAAATTTGGTTTCAGCTCAGGGAGCACATTTTTTAACAGATTAAAAAAAATCAGCATGGCCTTTTTTGAGTTATAGGAGTGTAAGAAAAAAAACCATGGGAGAGAGAAGTGTGAGGAGAGAAAGGCAGACAATTTTTTCACCAATATGACTCAAAAATAGGTCAGGATTAAAAATAAAGCTTGGTTCCAGTCTGTTCAGTCTCCCTCTCCCCAAGCCAACAGGACGGGGTGCTCTATTTTTATAATGGTATTTTAAGAGGAAATGTGATTTTTTTTTTCTCTGTGGTTTATAGGTAGTCCAATTTAATTCTACAGACATTTATTGCATGCTTAATTTCCTCGTCTTCCCCCTGCACACCCCAGAGTTGCTCTGCGGGGTTTGGTGGGATTATTCAGCAGGTACGGCTGTTTGCAGGGTCTGACCCTAGTTCTGGACCTGCCTCGGCATCACCGTAAGGCACAGTGCACCTGCGGTAGGGCAGCCTGCCTGGCACAACACCTCTTGCACGACTGCAATGCCACGGAGGTGCTAAGGGCAGAGGAGCGGCTCAAGCCCCCAAAGTGTTTCTGGAGTGAGAGGTGAAGATCTGGCTTGTTGACCGTTTGAAGCATATGAAGCTGTGGGACCCTCCTGTGTTTCTTCCATGGTGCTGCCTGTTGTCACCCATGTCGCAGGTACATGGCGTCCCCGCCATCCTTGGAAGAGCCGAGTGTGGGATACTTGCTGGTGAACTGGGCTGGGCTCTGCCTGTTCCCAGCCTCTCCTGACCACGTAAACAAAAGACTGGTCCTAAACTGTGGCATCAAATGGGTTGGGGCTTTCCACCGGCAGAGAGCTCTGGAGCTCCACCTAAGGTGCCTCTTTGTGTCAGTGAAAACCACATGAACAGCGGGACGGGCTGGGTCTTGAAAGTGGGCCTCAAACTGCATTTATCTGAAGCCGTGGATATATCCGCAGAAACTTGCATGAGAGGCTGTGATGGGGGAGGCTGGGATCTGCACCTTCAACGTACTGCTGTGCCCCCCTCTCACCCTGGCCCTGTGCGTGGGGCTCGGGTGTCCATGCGGCAGGCTGTGGCGGGGGAGATGGTTTAGCTCTCACCAGCTCAGGCATCAGTATGGGAGAAGCAGGACAAGGTTGCCGGCTTTGCCCCTGTGATCTCTGATGTTTGTAATGGCCTGTAACACCACGGTTTCACTGCCGCTGACACCACAGAGAGCTCGGGGGGGCTGACCCATCCTGACAGCCCAGCTCAGGCATGCTCAGGGATGGTGCTCAGCACGCCCCTGGAGAAGCACCATCAATGGGAACAGCCCTGCCTGGCACAGTTTCAAATTTAAGGCTCTGGACCATGCTCCAGAACTGAAAAACCCCTACATGCACCTGGAAATCTCTCTTTACATGTTCAGCAATTGCGCCATGCAGGGACTTGTGTTTTAAACCCAACACAACCAGGATACAGCCCATATCAAACCAGGATACGGCACACATCAAGCCTGACGTGAAAGCGAGAAGCACAAGAAAAACAAGAGGATCGAGGACAAAAAGCTGCTGAGAGCCCCTGAGCACCTTGCAGTTCTCATGCTGTACATTTTGACCATCCTCGGTCGTCAGCGCATCTAAAGTTTACATGGGTTTAAATACACGCTGAAAGAAATAATACAGCTCTTAAAAGGGTTTTACTAATCTCCTTCTGTCTCTCGTTATATCTCTGGGCTCATAACAAGGCTGCTTCCTGCTTTAGTGTTTTTATTAGCTCGCCCTTTCTTTCATTCACTTACTCTTTCTGTTCTTTTTTTTTTTTTTTCTTTAATGGACTTCATTTCTTTTGTCAGGTTTTTACAATTGCTTAGGAGAATATTTTTTATATTCTATTGTACTTATTTAAATGTGGGTCTCTTTTCTGGTTTTGGGGTTTTTTTTTTGTTTTTTGTTTTTGTTTTTTTTAAATATCTTTTTGGCTCCCTTGGGAGAAGACTCGAATCCTGGTATTTAAATATTTTTGAATTTGATCCTGCACTGTTATCACAACTATTTATATTATATTTACTACAAACCTGGTTCTACTGGATAAGAACAAGTCTGAAGCATTTTTTATCGTAGCTCCTAAAGATCCAAGGAAATGTTTTCATGCTGATTTTTTTTTTTTTTTTTTTTTTTTTTTTTGCTGTTGGACCTACAAAAGACCTAATCAGAATTTTGGTATTTCTGAGGATCATGTTAAATCACATGTGAAATTAAAAAATGCTCTTATTTTTCAGAAATAAGTGTTGAGTAAATCTGGGGTTTTCATGTCATGTTCAATATTCGTTAAATATTCTAGACCTTTTTGCTCATGCACAAGTGTTCCATGTCTTTCATTGTGGATATACCTGGCATTTCCTTCCCCTGTGGTGTCCTCTGTGCATATATAACTGCACAGTGCTTTAATTTCAAATGTAAATGCCATTTTATTTTGTACAGTATTACACATTAACATGAGTACAGGGCTTCCTAGGTACATGTTATTGACTCCATAACCCCAGAGCCGCCCAGACTGCACTCTGCTTGTGGGTAGGGGATCCCATCGATCAGTGGACAGACGGGATGCCTGGTGGCCCTGTTAGGCAGAACTGGGTGGCTGCACTGTGGGTCCTCCTGCCGTGAGCTGTGCGGAGCCGTGGATGGGTTCAGCTCTTCCGGGTGGGAAGGAGAGCACAGGCACAATAGTTCATTACGAAGCTACGGTATAGAAACAAGAGCAAAGTACGAGTCTTCCTTTGCAGGAGCTTTCATTGCACGCCAGGCAATAAGCACGTAACTTTTAGCACTGGTAAGCTAAGCATCGCGCTAGGCTTTGTTAGATACGGAAGGTTAGATCTTGTTTGTTTGGGTCTTTTACACCAGGGAGAGCAGATACTTGAAGGCAAATGCTGTATTCTTGCAAGGAATTTCTGAAGATATTGTCACATCACATAGGTCTCTGTGACAAAATAAAACAAAAAATACTTTGATCAGCTACTTATATTTCTCAAGAGTTTTTTCCTTGAAGAAAGCCCATGTCTCTTGAAAGCTCAGATCAAAGTAACTGTAAGCTCCCAGATAGGAAGAAAAATTGCTGAAAATTACATAGATTCTTTTTATTTTATTCAAGGTAATGGACAGGCAGGGAGAAGGAACAAGGGGAAAATGGAAGTGGCTCTGAAAGATAAGTGGTTAGAAAACCTTCATATTTGAAAGAACAAGCCTGTCTGTTTTGGGTTTTTTGCTTATACTTCATGTATTTGCAGTAGTTACAGCAATGTTTTACACTGGAAAAAGTAATGATGTTAACATTCTTGTAAGAAGAGATTGCCTCAAATAAAACTTCAGAGGCAGCCGAATGAAAGAAGAAAATAAGGTTAAAATATGAAGCTTAATATCGCCAGGGGGCATCTGGTGTGTCAGTCAGATGAATGAGGTAAGCTGATTTATGCCCTACAAACTTTAGCCAAGGTGTTTCTGATGCCGAAGAGGGTTTAATAGACTGCTGGCCTCCCACGGATCAGTGCGAACTGCAAGGGAGATTTTGCTGAGGTAGAACTGCAATCATGTATGTCTCCATTGCCTGTGAACACTCCACAGCTCCCAAACTGTTTATTTTTTGCCTTTTCCCTTTCTATTGATTTTTGGTTGTATTTTCTTTGCCAGTTACAGTCAGCAAATGGCGGAGTAATAAATTTATATTTCCAAGCTGCAGAGAGGATTTGATTTAGCAAATAATTTTTACCATTTGGAGCGGTTTAAAATGAGTTTTCCAGTTGCCTTTGCAGTTATTTTCTCCCCTTTTATGCCGTTTTGCTGCATTGTCATGCTTGTTGTCTTTGATTCTCGGAAAGCGATGCTTTAGTGGTGACAGTGGGATATTGCCTCATTACAGGCTTCCTTGCCAGATGAGTTCCCTTAGTGCCAATTACTATTCAGCAGTGGATGCTGCAATAGGTCAACCTGTACTTTTTGCTAGTCACTCTTTTTTTTTTTTTTTTCCACATGCATTGCTTCTGTCTAAAGCACTTAGAGGCAAATTGTGCTCCTGCCTTGGTAATTGTCGCTCTGCTACTCAGGGGGACCATGCAGGGGGACGTAAATATTCTCTGGATGTGTGGAGCTCCACAGGGACCACTAACCTGGTGGTAGGAGACATAGGGCCAGGGCCATAGGAGATCATCAAAGGCTAAAGTTTCTAACTTCCTAGCTGCTTTGTCTCCTGAGGGCCAAATTGCTTCTCCACCTTTTGCATTTTTCCTACTCTCTATATTTAACCCAGGTGTAGTGCAGAGATTTTGTCTTTCAGAGCTAATGCTTTGACCAGTTGAAGCAAACCTAAGCGTGGTGGTAACAGCCTCTCCCAACCACAGGGAGTGCTCTGAAAGCAAGTACTCTGAAAATCGGGGGAGCCGAGTAATGCTGACCATGTCATTGCTCCTCCTTGCTGTTGCACCTTTCAGTCTCTCCTTGCCTGTGGGGCTAGTGGTGGCAGCGTACTTGGGCACCAGAACTCACAAATCTAGTGTGAACCACGGGAAAATCAGGCAGTAAGCAAGGGCTCCCTGATAGCTGAAAGTAGCTGGGTGGCACGGCACAGCAACTGGAAAATAATTTCAAACTGCAACTTTAAACTGTGTCACTCGTCATTTAATTAAACATGAAGATAGGTACGACAGGGCTGGGAGTTAAACTTTGATGTCTCCTGGGTGTTCTCTGAGGCACCGTGCTGAATTATCTTTTTTGGCTGCTGGTGTTTTAACCCCATATGGCCCAGGGAGACTGCACGCTCATTTTCACAACACCTCAAATCTGTAGTGTAAAGCCAATGCAGGAGACCTTTGATCGACAGTTAAACTCTAAGTATGAGTCTCTGTACTTTTGCAATAAATCTGTTTACGATATGTTGTTGTTCCTGTACCTAATTATAAATTTGGAACAAAATTCTCTGTTAGCATAATTCCTGTGATGTCAACAGAGCTTTTCATGCTGGGAATTTAAGCTAGTTGCAAGGTTTGTTTGGTGTAACTGTGAAGATACTAACGGCATTTTTTGAAATACAAGTAGTTCTGAAACATAACTAAAATGATGGTTTAAAAGCATGTGTGGGCAAAGGCATAGTTGAGATACAACATTGCCACAATATCAATATGACTCTGCTAGTATAATTGAGAACAGAATTTTGCACCGTAGCAATAGCAGCATCCCAATTTCCTTTCTCTCTGATGCTAACATTTCAGTTGGAATTTACTGACAGATCATTAAACTGATGAAGACATAGCATTGGTGCATCCTGCAAAGATAGTGTTTTTCAAATGAAGGGCCGTACTGGAAATACTGGTTTGGAAGCAAAGGTTTAGCATCTCTGTGTACGTGTAAAGAAGCAACTTCATCTTGTGGGGGCCAGGCTATCCTAATCAGTGCCCGAAACAGCTCCTACCCCTTCCCAGGGCAGCTTTGGCCATCACTCAATGGCATTTGTTGTTCTGGCTCTTAGGATTCCTCTGCAAGGAATAAAACTGCCTTAAAGAAACTGATGTGTGGTCGGGTGCTTTCAATTTTGCTGCCTCAGAGAATATCTTTGGTTATTTACTTCATTGCTTCACAAAAGCTCTAAAGCAGAGACAGAATTTATCAGTGACACCAAGGAGAAATGGGAAGAAGTGAAGGGAGAGATTATGTGAGCCCTTTTAACACAAAGAACTGTAGTATAAGTTAAGAAGATTATTTTATCTTTGGCTCCTCTGACAGGTCCCCTGTTACATAAGTGTTCTGCTTTTTTGAGTTAGGTATTGCCTAAACGTCAGTCACAGCCATTTCCTGAAATAGGAACACTGAGTTTATTTAATTTGGGGGGGTTTAAGTATTTTCCATGTCAGAATAATAAATATATAAGATATAGGATCTCTTCTATGTAAATGCTACATTCTGGGAATATACAGGAGTATGTTTAGATATACTAAAAAGTTCTTAGTCATGATTTTAAGAGTAAAGCTTTGATTTTTTCCTGACATTGCTACGGCAAGCTTTCATGTCAAAAGAAACCCACTGAAGATGTTGATTCATTGGGAAAGGGGTGAAATGTCATACTCTTAACTACATCTTTTCATTTCCCAAGCTCCTCCTAGAGAACTGACAGAAGAAGAAAAACAGCAAGTTCTCCATTCAGAAGAATTTCTGATATTTTTTGACCGGACAATACGTGTAATTGAGCGAGCTTTAGCTGAAGATTCGGACATCTTCTTTGACTACAGTGGCAGAGATGTAGAAGAGAAAGATGGGTCAGTTTGGGATTTGTTTGCTTTTGTAAAATAACCTTTATAAAAATAATACCAATGCCAGGAAGCTTTAATTTTGGAACTAAACTAAACATTTTTACAGTTAAGAAAAGTTTAAAACCTCTCCGTGAAGGCCTGGGTCACTGTCTTAATCTAAATTATTTTGTAAAATAGCTTCATGCTTTTTTTCTCTGGGTTTTTTTCTTTGATGTGTTATGCATGTGGTTTAATTTTGGGGTTTTTTTTTGGGGGGGGGATGAAATTTCAAATTCTGAAGAAAAACATTAATAATTGAAACAGATAAATGTGTGTGTACACATGTATGTCTAGATGTGCATGCGTACGTTCCAGTGTGCTTGTATCATGATATTTTTACAAATTCAAATTGCTTTTGTTTATATTTTACTACTGCCTCAGGTCTGTAATGGATCCCACTGTGCTATGCATTGTGTGGATGAAAATGATGATCTCCCAAAGTGTTTGCAATCTAAACACATAAGACAAGAGGTGACAGGTTATGTATTCAGCAATTGATAGGGGAGTAGAAGAAGCAAAACTTGTTAGTAGAATAGGAAGTGTTTAGATTTCAACAGCTGCGTATCCGATGAAGCCTCATGGCACATCAGTAGCTGTGTTGCACTGAAGTTACTCACTGGAGGTTACTCTAGAGCATCGCTCCTATGACCAGCTAAATGCATCGGTGTGGCAGTGGTGGACCAGCAGTAAGCCACCCTATTGGTGCCAGAAGGCATCCAGGCAACCACCATCTCCATTGTGGGAGGAGGTGCTGTACCTTTAATATTTCAGGAATCAAAAATAACAGAGATTTGGTTATAGCGTGGAGGTGAAGATTCAGAAAAGGGGGAGCTGAATGCTGGGGCCAGGTTTGGTCCTGAGAGACAAAGATGGCAGAGGTGGCTGAGGGTGACCCAGAAGAGTCAGGAAGGCAGTGGGAAATTAAGAAATGTGGTTTTGTAAAACAGATGTAAAATTTGTTCCTTGGTGCAGATTTGTTATCAGCAAGATAGTCAGTGAGAGCAATTAAATCAAGGTGGGAGACTTCCCCAGACTGCGCAGAGATTTGAGAAGTAGTAGTCAGAAACTTTCACATTATTTTTCACAGCATTTAAATGCTGGTACTTCAAAATGTCACTTTGTTTGAATTCATACAGAGATGTTCAAGCAGGAGCCAACCTTTCCTTTAACCGTCAGTTTTATGATGAGCACTGGTCAAAGCATCGTGTCGTCACCTGTATGGATTGGTCTCTTCAGGTAAGATGTGAAGCTGGGAGAAGTTTCCATATCCCTTCCAACTTCTCCCTTAAAGAACATGTCCAGCCTGTTTGCCCTTCGTTCTGCAGACTATGATGGTTTTTTTTTTATCTAACAGCAGGGCCCTGAATGAGCAAATGTGTGTTTCTCTGTAAGGAAGAGCAGTGGGCAATAATGAAACTGTCATTTTTTTTGAAGTATGTTACTTGGTCTTCAAAACCAGGATGTTGTATTAAATGTATAGGTTAACAAACCTACTAAGATGAAGGAGTCTTTACTTTTCCTCCCCTCTCCACTCCTTCAGCACATGGAATTTTTTTTAGGACAAAAGGTTTAAAATTGAACCAATTAAAAATAATTTCCTAAATATGTAACAATTGATTTAATAGTTATACATAATAATATATAAAATAACAAATAAGAATAATGAGGAATAAAATTTATTTTTCTAATACACTAAAACTCAAAATGTGAATCTGAACAACTTGAAAAGATTGAAAAGATGTCTTTTGAAAAATGCTGAGTCCTGTCTTGGTCCAATGGAAGAGGAGGCTGCAGCTGGCCAGGGGGCATGCTAAAGCAGCGTGCCTGGGACATGCACCACAAAGCATTGTCATATTGCAAAATAAAACTGACCATAGAGCTGCTTAAGCTTCCCAAAACCAATACAGCCACATCAGCAAAGCACAGAAACCAGCTGAATTAGTTACTCTGTTGGAGAGCTGGGATTAGCACACACACATCACCACAGGTCCTGTCAAATTCATTCGGTCCCAGTTTCGCTCCAGCCACCCTCATCCTCTCTGCTTCACCCCTGTTAGCCCGTTCCTAGGTTCCAGCCTGGAGCAAAGCAGCTGCTTTCCCTGGGGAGGAAACCAGAGAGATTCTGCTCCAGGGTCCTGGAGCAGTTTCGAATTCATCTGTATTGTGAACCTAAGCTTTGCTTAGCCTAACCTTAGAAGTAGCTGCTCTTTCCGCACTATGTTAGGTGTTGCACATGGAGACAGCATGCGTTTAAGGCCAAGCATGTAAATGGTGCGTGTGGGCTGGAGGAAAGCAGTGGATAAGGAGCACAGTGACTCTCGCATCCATCCTTCTCTCCTTTGCCTTGAAATAGCAGCAGGGCTGCTTCCATCCCTCCAGGTGCTCCTCAGGTAAGGTGGCAGCTGACTGCACAGAGGAGAGGACTTGGAGGGTCTCGCCAAGCATCACTGGTAGGCTGTGCAGGTCTGGCTGTCCCACCAGGTGTGGTGCACAACAGCCAGCTGCAGAGAGGCTTCTTGTAATATCCAGCTCGTGCCATGTGTGTGAAATGAAGGATTTATCCCTTTGCTTTCATACAAAATATCAGCTTAACAACAGGTATGCACTGCTGTGACGTGGGTGGCCTTTAAGCACATATGGATTTCCACAGAAGTCAAATATAAGCCTGAGGAAACACTTATCTTAGGTTGTTCACTTGTTCAGGGGCTGGAAATTACATGGAATTCTTATCTGATATTTTCCTAACAGGCAGCTCTTACTGTATTCCCAGGGCAGCAAGAAAAAAAGCCGCCTCAGAAGAGCACTGCCAAATGTAATTGCTCAGCCCCTGGGGCTCGCAGGCATGTTCTGCTTCCCACCTCTTTGTTCCAGGGTGGCCCCTCCTGCCTTCCCCTCCGTTAACTCCTCATGCTCAGCTCCCTGGCACCCCAGCGGGGGCTTCTCCGCCCCGACTTCTTCTCCATGCCGAGGGGCTTCTGCACGCTGCCCTACGCTAGCTTGGGAGGAGGGATTTGCCGCCTCTCTTGCCTGCTTTGAGGTGTGTCATGCGGCAGGAGCTGGAGCCGGACGGAGGTATTTCACCTAACCGCTAGCTGCTCCGCTTCTCACCCACGCTCCAGGACATGGCAGTGTCCAGTATGCCAAAGGATAACTTGAATAATCATGGGAACTGCAGAACACATTGCTCAATTTTCTGTGATAAAACTGTTGCTGCAAACAGCCTGGAGGCAAATAGAAGCTTAATCAAAGGACCTTGATGCATTGATTAAACAAGTTACTCTGTTCCCAGTCACATGTAAAATACAGTCCCAAACATGTGGGATCATTCATACCATTAAAGCTAACCCACTAGCCCCTTGATTCTTTTGCAGAGCAAAGGGGAAACGGCTTAGATGCTTCATCAAGGATCTAAGGGAAAGGCCCAACAGTGTAAACATAGAGAGTGGGATCACCTTGCTCTGTCCATGAGGAGGTAACTTAGCTCATCTGAAGCCAAGAAAACCACAGTCTCGGGGATACTGCTGTGTCTTTCTTGACTCTCAGGTGGCAGCCTTGAAAGCTGTTTCCCACAGCACCATTTCCACGTTGTTTTGAGTTGCAGTCACAGGACAGCTGGGAACCTGGTGAGGACCGAAATTCCGTAAATGCGAGTAGATTGAATGAAGTGGCGAGTGTGCAATGCCAGTGTGGATTTAGGGTGCTGCACTTAGCTCTGCTTTTTTAAGAGTCAAAAAGCCTCATAATGATGTTGCTCAGCTAGGTATGACCCCAGCATCTGTGGAAACCTGAAACTGTATTTCCAGTCCGATGCATAAACTGTGATTGCAAAACCTATGTATAGACGAGCAAGATTGGAGTCTGTTTGTTTATGGCCAGACATGCTGCCAACCAGATCATGCTCGCTAAACTTTCCAAGAGCGTGAACCAACCCCAAAGTGCCTCCAAACTGGTGCTTCAGACCTGGTCACACGCCCTAGCTGGCTGCAGTCACGCCGGTGGAAGGGCTTGTTGCTTCTGCCTGCCAAGGTATCTGCCCCTGCACGACTGCGGGCTCAGCTGCTCGCGCGAATGGTACCTAACCTGTTCAGTCAAAACGAGGTGCCCTGGCAAGAGCCTGCTGTGCACTCTGTTTACTTGAACCTGGGCCAACGTGGGATGAAAAGGTTCAAAGGAGAAGCTGAGCTCGCTGTTCAGAAGTGGTTGTAAACTCTGTTGCAGGAGAGAGAGTGAAGAGGGGGGTGAGATGGATGAGAGCAGTGGAGGGCAAGCTGGTACAACTGTGTCCAGAGAGGTGGTGTCTCAGGTGTGGGATTAAACCACCTTCAGGTCTTCCTCAGTTCTTGAGGAGGGAGAAGAGGTCGTTTGTCTGCTGCATGCTTTAACTCCCATGCAAGTGATTTGGGTGCTAAATTACCCTTACAAGCTGCGCCAGCAGCCAGGGTCTGCTGGGATGTAGGTACCACTCAGTCAGGGCTGCCCCAAAATGGGAAAGAGATGGCTATAGTGGCCACGTGTGGTCACTGGTTCTCCCACACGTGGGTCCAGGCTTATTTGGAACAGTGAGCTTGAATAGAAAAATCATCAGCTCCATGATGTATTATCCACGGAAGTGTACACAAAGTGGGAAAGAACAGCTGCTGATGGCAAAAGTTATAGCTGTGTGCATTATTTCTTCCAAATAGATTTTGAGAGCTGAGAGGTTGAAACCTCGATAATAATGATATAAAAGGTAGTGGGGATTTTTTATTTATTTTTAAAATGCGTGTTGTGGACCAAATTCACAGTTTCCAATAGCACTATTGGCAGTTTCTTTGTCCCACTTCTGTTATATCTATGAGCTGCGCTGTTCCCCTATAAAGTGGTGAATGGATTGGCAGGAATTTACCTGGGAATGACAAAAAGTGGCAATGATTTGCAGAGATCGTTGAGGCTCAATTTTGAGGGAAAGCATTCCTAGTTTACAAGAGGAGGGTGTGGGTCCTGTGGAGCTTGGGCTGCTGGCTCGTTGGTCTGCAAAAGCCACGTGCTTTTCTCTGGACATGCCAGAGAGGGACTGTTTACAAGGGCAAGTAGTGATAGGACAAGGGGTAATGGGTTTAAGCTGAAGGGGGGTAGATTTAGACTAGATGTTAGGAAGAAATTTTTCACTGTGAGGGTGGTGAGGCACTGGAACAGGTTGCCCAGAGAAGCTGTGGATGCCCCATCCCTGGAAGTGTTCAAGGCCAGGTTGGATGGGGCTTTGGGCAACCTGGTCTAGTGGAGGGTGTCCCTGCCCATGGCAGGGGGATTGGAACTAGATGATCTTTAAGGTCATTCCAACCCAAAGCAATTGATGGTTCTATAAGGTCCACTGCCTTACTTTGACTATTTAGAGGGAAGGACAGAGGCTGCCAGAGGTGCCTAGAGTCAGACATGAGAGAGTGGAGAACTGGGTGCTATCGTATAGGCAGAAAGTAATTGATGTTTTGTGGGCAAATTGTTTCTTCTTACAGTGTTTTGAAATGATACAAGGTCATCAACAGAATGTGAAAATCTGACTTTTCATAAATGATACTTCTGTGTGTGTGTGTATATATATATAAACACAGCAAATGCATGTGTGTTGCATATCTACTTCTATACATAGCGGATAATGGGTGTACAAGAAAATATGGATCTGATTTTAAAGTGCTCATTGCATCAATCTTACTGAGTCAGTGGAATTCGAGGTAACCCTGTGCTTTACAAGATGACCTCAGCATCTTGCAAAATTGAGCTGTGAAGAAAATGTTTTGTTTGCTATTTGAATCATCAAGAAGAGCTTTCAAGTTGACTCTACACATAAGTGAATAGGAAGAGTACATAATGAAATAAGAAAGAATAGTTTTCAGGAATGCTGAAAAAACTGTGAATTTCAGAATAAAAGCAAGTCAATGCTATGGTCATAGTGTTTTCATTATCAAAATCAATTAAGACAATGGTTTGTCCCTGAAGAAATGGTTAAGCAAATAGATCAGAATTACTCAAGCTTTCGGATTTTTCCTCTTCCTTGCTTTGCATTCACTTTATAAATATGCTGCTAGTTGTCTTTTCTGAGAATTACCTGCAGAAAATAACATTGCCTTTGTGGTATCTGAGAATAACTGAAGGAGAGCAAGGAGCAGGGGCTTTAAGGATGTCAAGGATGAGTAAAACAGAAAACCAAAATGAAGCTGAATACGATGTTTGGACTAGAGTGTATTATAATTAAAACCAGATATTGCACATTTAGTGTGAGATTATTTCTGTCTCATCTGATTTTGCATCCATCTTATTTCATTTTCTTTTTCTTTTTCTTTCTAGTACCCAGAGCTGATGGTTGCATCATATAACAATAATGAAGATGCTCCACATGAGCCTGATGGGGTAGCCTTGGTATGGAACATGAAGTTCAAGAAAACCACACCAGAATATGTTTTCCATTGTCAGGTAAGACTGAGGAAGCCATTAATTTCATGCTAGACAAAACAGAGTTTACTACGTGGTGCATCTGCCCACTGTTTATATGAAGAGGTTGAGGTTAAAAATAGGCATTTTGGGAAAAAATACAAGTGGCGGTCCAGTGTTTTTAGAAGGCAACCAGCCTTCTCAAACAATACTGAAAGCCTGTCAGGGCTGCGTGTCATTCTTTGTCTATTTAAAACAGTCCCTCGGAGATTTACTTTATAAAGTCCTTGCACTTATGAAGTAACTGTGGTGTACCACTTCCTCACCCAGGCAGCAACATATGCTTTCCCACCCACATTAGCTTCCTCGCATCCTCTGCACTCCAAGCTGCCTACCCTTGCCTCGGTTCTGCTCAATATCAGGTTTTGCCTTTAAAATTGGGACATACACTTTGCATTTCTGGGCATGTGTCTTGCTTACAGCTTGATAAAAACAGTCTCGATTACAAGGACTGCTCCACCAATTCCTGTTTGTCCTTTAGGTTAGCAACTCAGTGTTTCACTTGACTCAATGCTACTTTATAACCATACTATTTTAGAAGTTTATGGACACTTCAGAAATAATTGTGTTTGTTTTATTCTATAGGTCTGTTTACTCCTCTTTTGCCACAGCTTTTGTGTGTGAAATGGCACAGCCTCATAGTGACAGAAATGTTCTGCTCATTGGCTCTATCTCTATCAAACTGTCCAAACTGTGGACCAGGGCTTGGGCCAAATTTCCAACCTCTTCATTAATATCCTTCGGTGGTAATTAAATACAGGACAGTGGTACAGCCATATGGAAAAGTTTCAGCAAGTAAAACTGAACAATCAGAGATTAGTAAAATGCAGATTATTCTGCGGTAAAAATTGCTTCTCTTGGAAGGATATGTATTACCTGGCTAATTGTGTAAGCTAAGTGTCATTTTACATTGAATGACCAAACATCTTTTTGAACTAAGTTTATGTTTGGACTTGGGTACATTATCAGATGTAACATAGTGGGAGGGAGTTGCTGGAATTGAAGTTACTGCTTCAACCCGATTAAGTAACCTTTAATTCTGGGCATGTTTTTCTAATTTGCTATACTGAAAAACAACTTCACAAAGAGTCTAGGCCTGCACAGCAAATATGCTATACAGATTTATATACATATATATTTATGTGTGTGTATTACCTTTGAAATGAGAACTTGCATTTTTCTGGATATCATATTCGGCAGACTGATGTCTTCTTTCAGACTGCTTAAGATCTTAGCTCAGATCCCATGTTCAAATTCTTCTAGGATATACATGCAGTTTAATGTTTTCTTTAAAAAAACCCAAACATTCAAGAGAAGAGATTGCCCGTTGCATTTTCAGGAGAATAATCCTTAAACTAGATTGATTTTGCAAGATAATAACCAGATTCAGGGTAGCCCTTCTAGTACACAAAGGGGAGATTGACTACAGCCATAACAATGTGCTCTGTTAATTAAAAATTCTATCTAGTTTTAAAAGTAGGTACAGTTAAACAGGGGAGGTATGACTCACTAAATTGAAAGTATTGAGTCAAGCTATACTTTCTATTAGAAAAACACACACAGGAAAAAGTAGTGGCCAGAGATTTGGCGTGGTTGAGCTTCTGTCTAGTTCTTCCTTGAAGTTGGATGTCCCCCTTTTTAGAACTGGAACCTTAAAACCTGTGAATTGAGAGACACATATGGCACTGTGTTTTTACATGCATCCTGGATTCATCATCTTCCAGTTAAACAAAACCAGTTCTTCTGTCCATGAGAAATATTTATTTTCTTGGTCAAACTGTCCACAGATAATTTGCATTATCAGTCTGTTATGAGTTGGAATCATGTTTGAACCACCATTATGGGGTTTTTGACATGTGGAATATCTTCTGCATCTCAGATCGGATGGGGATACCCACATGAGATTAAACGGGGAACCAAAAAGCATGAGAGTTGGTCTCCTGAACACAGGTTTTGTTCTAACTGACTCAGATGGAAAATAAGAAAAAAAAATTATCTTAGCTCAGAGTCTGGAATTCAGATCTGTAGATCATCATGTTATTCTGTTAGTGGAAACCAACTGTATTATTAGTCAGCCCCATATCATTTATATTACCATTTTGCAAGAGAAACATTCCCTTATTCAGTCCTGATTCAGTCATTTCTCTAGGTCTTCTGTGAGACAGGCCCAATTTTAATTCCGCAATACACGACCTTAAAACAGTCCAGCCCAGCAGCTGGAGATGAACTCACACCTTATCGTTACAGCTAGGTTGCCCAGATATGACAGACGCAGTTCTTTGAGCGTATTTTCCCAATAGACCTCTATTTTCCTTTCCAAAGACTTTCTATAAAAATATGTTCTTAATAAATACTATATGGTGCTGACTAATACACCTTTTGCCTTTCAATTTTTGGGCTCACAGAGCGAGATACAAGCAAGTAGAAACTCATTTCAGCTGTGGCAGTTGAGGAACTCATGCAAGCTACTTCTGAGGAGCCAAATCAATAAATAGGTTTATGAAGCCGTTTCTGAGGAACTTCTAAGAAATTCCACCTCAGGAGTTCTGACAACATCAATAGATATAGATATGTGAAACATCTCTGGACAGCTAAAGAGTTGGCAGAACTTCAGCAGGTAGAACTTTAGATACCTCTTGTGCACATTTGGTAAATTCTGGAAGCTAGGAACCGTAATATTTTTCTGTCCTTCCTGGTGTATTATAGAGATTTAAGTGACATGATTACCAAGGAATTTCTTAATTTTCTTTACCTCTTTCTATGACTTTTTGTAATCTTACATAAGGTCATTGAAATGGTCATAATCAGAACAACAGGCTTTCCCAGTTCCTTTTGCTGAAAGTTGCCAGATCCCAGAGGCTTCACCTAAAGTTGTCTGTCAGCCATGGCAGACAATGATGCAAAATCTACCAGCGATGATGTTCTTTCCTAAATCCAATCAGCAAAACATTTGATTTCAGGCCTCAAGTGTGAGGGATGATATATTCTGTAAATGTTTATCTTAGCTGTTGTCACTAATGATCTTACTGTTATGAAAGTCTTGCCCAATTTAAAGTCATATTAGGTTGTTGGCTCATTAATACAGTGTAGGTGGTAGTAAATTTCCTAGCTGTACAATATGTTGTGTTCCAAATACCGAGTTCAATTTTACTTGATATGCATTAAGGGAAAAATTACTATCAGCCAAGTGGACTTGTTTACTCATTAATTCATGTGAACTGCTATGTGATTGATCAAATCCTTTCTAAAAACACCCAGTCCTGCTGGCTTCTACTCTCTCCTCCTGTGGAATATTTCTTTTCTTCTACTTGTTTTATTTTTGCCCTTCTTTGGGTTTTTATATTTCTACTTAACCCAGTGACATGCTGACAGTATTTTAGCTGGGACTCCCACAGATTTTTTCCTCTATAGCTCATCCTACATCTTTTTACCACAAGGTTAGAAATGGGAAAGCAAGGAGGAGTGAGGGATCGGGCAATTTGTTCATTTGTTTTCCTATGCAAGCAAAAAAATGTTGTCTCAGAAGCAAAATCAAAGTGGAAGGGTGATATCATTTGCTAAAAGAATGAATGCTCAATGCTTTCCTTAGGTAGTGAAGAATAAATTGAGCATGCAGTTAATACTGCAGAATGCAGACTGGGAACATCCTTGTAGGGAAGAGTCAGGAATCTCCTCTTCCCCCACGCTGGAGCATCACAAACTCTTGGTGTAATCCAGTGCATTCCAAAGGCAAAACCCAAACCTTTCAGAAGTACTTTATGAGGCCCTGTGGATGAATCATCCCTGGTTGGGTTGGTTTGGCAGTATCCAGAGAGGGAATGAATTCCAGCGACAACATGGAAATCACATTGACTCTTCCTCGGTTTGGTGGTAGAATTTAAGCAGTGGTTCACACTGCTTCTCTCAGCTACTGTTGGTCTGCGTTTAGGTGGGGGGTGACAAAAACGAAAATCGTATAGCACGGTTATTGATGATATGACTTGACATGAGCTCAATCCCATATTGATTTATGCAATACATGGGGCTGGCCTTATATGTGAACATTCCCGTACTACTGATTGATAGAGTAGCATCAACGATCTTTCTCAGTCTTACTCTCTTTCTTAGAAAGCGCTTATATCTCCATAATGTGTTTTTTCACTGAACAAACAAATAAAAAAATCTACATTACCCATTAATTATGAGTATGATTTGTAATACAATGCCCATGGTCATCTATGCCCATGATGTTGTTCCCGTTTCCTGGTGGTCTGACCTGAGTTTTCTAAGCCAAAGTGACCTGCAGAAGTATCTGAAACTTTGTACCGACATATCTGGTTGAGTGAGGCAAATGAGAACTCAGACTGTCTTTGCAATAAATTGGCTAGTTGAAGTCTGAGCTATTATACCCTTCCTTTCAGCAGGGCCTGTTAGCATGGCTACAGCACTGCTCTTACACCAGATCTCATAGCTTTTGGGTTAGAGCTGATCTGCAGAGACAGAAGACTCAAGGAAAAGAAATAATCAGTGGATCTAAGGGACTTTAGTATATTACAAACTGTTTTCTTTCTTCTGGAACTAAAGAGGGGTTATTAAAGTTCATTGAGGTATCTGGACCTCAGCTTCAAATGTCCATCATTTCAGGAGAGGAGGGGTGGGGGAAGACAGCTAAAGGTATTAGTTTTGTGCAAATAAACCAAATTGAATGTTACTTTCTGATTTGGAGGACTCTGCATTGTGTTTGGAAAGTTTGGTGAATTCTGCTTTCCTACACCCAATCTAATGATAGCAGCAATAATGAAAAATACTACATTGACTGCATTTTGATTTATTTTAGATTATTTCCTGATCTATTAATTTCCTCTTTCTCAGCTATGTCTTTTCCAAATGTCTCCAAAGGGCAGTGAGAAGTACAAATCTGACACTTAGAAGTAACTCCATTCAGTGTTTTTTTAAGGAAGGAGAGCACATGCGAAGTAGCTTTTATTTGAGGAAGCAGTAAC